AACACCTGATACATCAAGTATTTAATGCATTTTCTAGCAGTAGCCAGGTTTTTCAAGTTGTTAGGCACCTAATTTCCATATATTGTAACCATGATTAAAATCAAATCCCTTGGAAAATATGATCACTAAACCACAGCTAGTGAGAGCTGCAATTTATATTTATTATATATTATTTTATGGCCATTAAACTATAGCTAATGAGCTCTGTAATTTATTATATATTGGTTTATTATAATAAAAAACAGTTTAAATCAGTTTATCACACTTCCCAACACTGAATATGTGAAAACCCTTCCCTTTCACCACGTTCTTCTGACATTTTTGTGGGTTCAAACTGATTTTCTTAGCAAAAAAAGTGAACATTCCCAGGAATACCTTCACAGCTCTGATGGAGAGGATACTCCAAGAGAGGTCAGGCAGCTTAATTTCTAAATTTATTTCCAACTCTAAATAATCAAATTTCTACTACAAAGGCACTGCAGCAAAAAAGGGCCCAAGCAACTCAACAATGAACAGCTGGGAATAAGTCATGGCACAGCACAGAGAAGAGAAAGGGGAATATTCACATCTTTCAACAACAATTTTTCAACATTTAGAGGCAACAGCTCTCCTGGTTTGGACATGGAAACCAAAGGTTCAACAAATTCTTATTGCAGGCTCACAAAATCCCCTGGCTGAAGATTTTCAATGTGTACCCAGACAGCTTTGATCTGCCTGATCCACTCAATAATTAATTTAAAATCAATAGAAAATGCTAATGGGAAACCTGGTATCCAAGACAAATTTCAGTTAAATATCTTAATTGAAAAATACACACAAACACAAGCGGAGCAGCTTTTAATTAAAGAAGAAAAGCAGACTTTATAATACCTTTTGGTATTATAAACTTCTGGTTAAGATTTAAATATTTCAATTGTGAAAGATTTGTTTGTCACAAACCAATGTATGCAAACTTTCACTGCAGACATCCTTAAGTATTAATAGAAGATTGCATAACTAAAGACTCATCCTTTTCCAAGAGGAACACAGGTGAGAAAATCAGTTTATCCTGAACTCCAGGGAGCCAGTGTTATGTGTGGGAATTATGGAAAGCAGGAACCAAGGAAAAAAAACCCATGAGACATTTTCAAATAATTGTATGACACCGAGAGCCCCTATTTATGGTTTTTTTTTTTTCCTTGAATCAAATGCAAAATAAATATCTTATCTCCAAAACTGTTTCACCAGGATAACTCAAAGATTTAGTGTGTGGCAAGCACTCCAGAATAATTCCAAATTCGGAATTTCCAGGGATGTGTGGTTTAAACCCTCACCTGCAGCCGTTTTTCCTATTTATGCCAAGCTCGGTAATTATGGCAGGATTTTCCAGGAATGTTTTTCCAGTAAAATACCACTGTTTTTTGTTTTTGTTTTTTTCTTCCTAGGGGAGACTCTTACCTCCTGGTTCTGCTCTTTGACCTGGACCTTTGGGACCTGTAGGATTTGCCTCTGCCCCTGGAGCGGCTGCGCTTCCTCCTGGAGCCGTAGGAAGAGCTGCTGCTGGATCTGTGTCTGCGCCTGCAACAGAGCAGGGGTGAGGAGCTGCCCAAAAACCCAAAAACAGCAACAGAGCCCCAAAGATTCCCCAGAAAACACAGCCATGGTGAGGCTGAACTGCCCAAAAACCCCAAAAACAACAACAGAGCCCCGAGGATCCCTCAGAAAACACAGCCATGGTGAGGCTGAGCTGCTCAAAAACCCCCAAAACAACAACAGAGCCCCAAGGATGCCTCAGAAAACACAGCCATGGTGAGGCTGAACTGCCCAAAAACCCAAAAACAACAACAGAGCCCCAAAGATTCCCCAGAAAACACAGCCATGGTGAGGCTGAGCTGCTCAAAAACCTAAAAACAGCAACAGAGCCCCAAGGATGCCTCAGAAAACACAGCCAGGGGTGAGGCTTGCCCTGCCCAAAAACCCCAAAGTACAGGGACAAACCCTCAAGGATTCCTCAGAAAATACATCCAGGGGTGAGGCTAGCACTGTTCCCAAAACCCCCAAAAAACAGGAACAAACCCTCAAAGATTCCTCAAAAAATACAGCCAAGGGGAGCATGGCACTGCCCAAAAACCCCAAAATAGGGACAAACCCCCAAGGATTCCTGAGCAAATACAGAAAAGGGGAGCATGGCACTGCTCAAAAACCCCAAACAATTCCTGAGAAAACACAGCCAGGGGTGAGGCTGGCACTGCCCAAAAACCCCAAAAAGCAGGATAAAAGCCCCAGGGATTCCTGAGAAACATTCACAGACTCAGGAGTGCTCCAGAAGCCTCAAATCCCACTATTCCCCCAGAAGAGTAACTCACACAGGGATGCTGCTGCCCTACAGAGCTAATCCTCCAAAATTCACATCCCAGACAAAAATGAAGTTTGGGAGGGGTCCTTAACTACTATTAGTAGTAATCACTTAATCAGTGTTAATTTCTTTCATTTGAGTTCATTTAAGGGCAGTTCCCTCCTGAACCCAATCAGGAATCAAAAGGGTCTCTTCATTTTCCCCTCCCTCCCAGTTTTGTCTATTCAAAGAATAAATTCTTTTACACCAAGTAGAAAAGTGAAAGATATTAAACCCAAAAACCAAATGCAATCCAAATCTTAACACTTCCTTCCCATCTCCCAATAGTTAACTGATTAACAATTACAATCCTCCCTATTTTTGGCCTTTACATCGGATTCATATTGAAATGTTAAAATTATATTATATTATATTATATTATATTATATTATATTATATTATATTACTACTACACAATATACTACATTATTGTATAATATTGTTATATTATAATATATTATAGATTACATCATATTACATTATTGTATATGCTATATTATATTATAGCTATATTATATTGTATTATACTATACTACATTATTGTATAATATTGTTATATTATAATATATTATAGATTACATTATGTTACATTATTGTATATGCTATATTATATTATATTATATTATTATGTTATTGTATCATAGTTATATTACATATATTATATTATATTATATTATATTATATTATATTATATTTTATTATATTTTATTATATTTTATTATATTATATTTATTATATTATATTTATTATATTATATTTATTATATTTATATTATCCAATTTGCATATATAAAACCCAAACAAAAATTGAATTCAGGATGTGCTCAGTGATTCTCCAGCATGAGGGAATGGGGCTGCAGGGGCTGGAATGCTGGACAGGATTCAGAGGTTCATGCTGAAGAACAGGGCTGCTCCTGGACAGGGAATGTGATGCTCCTGCTGGATGAGGGCCAGGAATTCCAGCAACTGCTGCCTTTGTTTGCTGAGGGTCAGGGACAAACCCAGCAGGGAACAGGGCCTGAGCTGCCCCAGGGAGAAAGGCAGGAGCCCAAAAGCAGAGCCTGGGGCACTCCGGGATGCCCTGGGGTCCCTCTGGCTTCCCCGGAGCTGTGCTGCATCCAGGGGCTCAGGGCTGGCCTCAGAGCCCTGGGGAGGGTGGAGATCCCAGCAGGAGCAGGACAAAGGGCTGGGAATGAAGCCCTGAGGTCCTCAGCACACCCTGCAGCCACTCCAGAAAGGCCTGGCAGGAGCATTTCCTCCTGGATTCCCAGGGCAGCTGGACAACGGAGAGTTCTCCAGCTCCACCTCCCAATAAATTCACCAGCACCAGCCAGGTTGAGATGTCCAGGATGGAAGCACAGAAATGCTGCAGGGCTGGAGCCCCTCTGGAGCCGGGCTGGGAGAGCTGGGAATGTTCCCCTGGAGAAGGGAAAACTCCAGGGAGAGCTCAGAGCCCTGCCAGGGCCTGGAGGGGCTCCAGGAGAGCTGGAGAGGGGCTGGGGACAAGGATGGAGGGACAGGAACAGGGAATGGCTCCCAGTGCCAGGGGGCAGGGCTGGGTGGGAGATTGGGAATTCCTGGCTGGGACAGGACACAGGGAATGGCTCCCACTGCTAGAGGGCAGGGATGAGTGGGAGATTGGGAAGGAATTCCTGGCTGGGCTGGAATTCCAGAGCAGCCATGGCTGCCCCTGGATCCCTGGCAGTGCCCGAGGCCAGGCTGGATGAGCTTAGAACACCCTGGGGCAGAGAGACCAGCTGGGAGAAGAAAGGAAGTTATTTCATCTCCTGGGGATTCCCTGGTTTAAAGCAGAAGTTCCCTTTGGATCTGCACATTCCCTGCTCTGTTCTCGTGGGGGGAAAGAGCTGTGGGTACTTCTGGTGGTGAGTTTGGGGTTTTACCCTGACACAGTGAAAACAGATTCACATCTCTTAAGGCTCAGAACAACCCGTGCCTTAAAATCCCAACCCACGGGCTCCAAACCCTTCCAGCTCCCTGCTGGAACGAGCTCAGCATCCAAGAACTCCTACAAATGCACCTTTTCTCATAGGAATGGGACCAGGACGGGAGATCCCGAGAGCGCGACCTGGACCTGGATTTCCTGCCCGACTTTTTGCGGCTGTGGGCGCGGCTGTCCGAGGAGCTGCTGGAGGAGGAGCGCCGGCGGTGCTTCTTCTTCCTCCGGCTCCTGCCCTCCTCCTCCGTGTCCGAGGAGCGCCGGCCCATCTCCGACCTGCACAGAACCCAGACACGTCCTGTGTGACACGGGCTGCCCTGTGCTGCTTCGTATTTACAGAAAAACAAAATACACCGTTCCCTCTCCTCCTCTCCCTGTTCCCTGGCATAAGATCCCAAATCCCCCCGGCTGTCCCCTCCTGGCAGGAGCTGTGCAGAGCCACAAGTTCCCCCTGATCCCCCTTTTCTCCAGGCTGAGCCCCTTCCCAGCTCCCTCAGGATTCTCCAAACTCTTCCCAGCTCCCTCAGGATTCTCCAAACCCTTCCCAGCTCCTTCAGCTTCTCCTGGAGCTCCAAACCCTTCCCAGCTCCCTCAGGATTCTCCTGGGGCTCCAAACCCTTCCCAGCTCCTTCAGCCCCTCCTGGAGCTCCATTCCCCTCCTGGGGCTCCA